GACTAAAATCTTTTTCGCCGTGGTTTTTTTGCAGGTGGGGTTTCAGAAAATCCTGACTCTAACCTATGTCGACAAGTTGATAGACGACGTTCATAAGGAGTTCAGGGATAAATATCGCAACGAATTCCAGCAGAAAGGCACCTTGGGACTCCTAAATGGCACTTTTGATTTTAAAGACGACTTCATGCGCCTCCTCCGGTAGCACAGTTTGATTTTTTTTCTTCCAATTTTTAATTTAGGATGGAGTTAAATGGGGATGTGGGGGGGGAAGGAATCTGAAATTGAGGCTAACGTGGCACCGCCCCGCAGGGACGCAGAGGAGAGCAGTAAAGTCCGAGCTCCCACCGTCATGAAGACGTTTGAGCAGTCTCTGAAATCCCAGAAAACTGTCAAATGTATGATAGAAACCCGGGGGGAGAAACCAAAGGAGAAAATCAAGAATAAGAAAAACAAAAGTTCCAAAAAAGAGGGTGAGTTGAGAGGTATCTGGGGAGGGAATAAATAAATATTTCAGAATTTGCGCTCGTCTGAGCTTGTCTGGGTTTTTTCCATCAGGAATTGAAGCTGTTGCAGCGCCCGGTAAAGCATCCGCAGGTGACAAGCAGCCCTCTGCAGCCGGGGACAAGGAGGAACTGACCAAGGATGAAATCCTGCAGAAGAACCGGGAGGAGTTTTTCAAGAGACACATGAAATCGGGGGAAAAATCCAGGTGGGTAACGAGGACGCAGGCTTCAAACCAGCTCTTTGTGGTGTTCCTGAGCTTTTCCATCATTTGGTGGCTGCTGGAAGTCTCTCCTCGCTTTTTCAAACCTTTTTTCCCTTTTCCTTATTTTTTTTTTGCTCGCTGGAAGACTGGGAAAGGGCACGCTTGGGGTGCTGGAGGGGAAATAGAGCTTCATCCCTTCCCTCGAGAGCCCGAAACCCAGCCTGTGGCTGGGAAAGGTCCAAAATCTTTTTGGAGTGAGGTTTTACCACTGCGAGCAAAGGGCAGCGGTGCAGCGATGCCTGGCAGGAGGTAACATGGTGTGAGTCAGGGTTAAAGTGCAAATAAATAAACTTTGGAGATGGAATCATCCCGGTTTAGCTTTAATTTTTGCTTTTTTGGCTAATCTAGGCTGTTCATTTTCACATATTTTAAGGAAGTGATTGCTGCTGCTTCACTGGACTGAAAAAGCTTATTTCTGGTTTTTTTTTTATTTCAGCAAATCTCCGAAGCCCGATGCACACAAGGAGAAGGGGAAGAAGCCCCGAGTGTGGGATCTGGGGAACTCTAATGCCAAAGTACTCGATTACAGTAACTCCGCTACCAACGGAAGCGCCGAGGCTTGTCCCATGGAGGAATTTGACCCTGATATAGTAAGAAAAAAAAACAACACCAAACCCTCAGGTCGCTGTGTCCACCTTCGGACGTTGTTCTGGGATCACCCCGGCATTGCAAACCCAGCCTGGTGTCCATAGAAATTCCTAGAAACGAGAAATGATGATTTTTCGCATCTTTTCCCCTCCTTGCAGGCTCTGGGGGATCGAAATCGCGAGCCCGGCCGCCTCTACGACCTTGAATACGAGAGCGACGACGAAGCCGAAGAGGAGAAAGTTGTTCAGAACCCTTCCAAACCCAGGTAGAGGCTCCTGCAGCACCCCTTTGCTGCACGCTTCTTGATTTCTGTCTCATAACTCCACTCCCAGTCTGACCAGTAACGCAGCGGGGCAAACTGGTGTGCGGCGGGCTCTTTTAGCATCTGGTTGTCGCACTCGCTCCTTGAATAACTTACTTGCTTCTTGACAGCGCGAAGAAGGGCGGCCTGGGGGGCATGTTCGGCATGCTGAAAGGCCTGGTGGGCTCCAAGAGCTTGACCAGAGAGGACATGGACCCTGTCCTGGAAAAAATGAAGGATCACCTGATTGGTATGTCGGGATCCGCTGCGAGCGGGTTTGGTGGGAGCCCTCGACACCGCGTTAAAATCGGGGATCCTCCATGCCGACGCCATCCTTCCCTCAACGCTGATGTTCGCTGTGCGTAACGCTCTCAGCAGCACTAACTCCTTTTTTTCGCGATTTTTTTTTTTTTTTTTTTTTTAAAGCAAAAAATGTGGCTGCTGAGATAGCTGTCCAGCTCTGCGAGTCGGTGGCTAAAAAACTGGAAGGGAAAGTGATGGGAACGTTCACCAGTAAGTGGCTGCATCACCTTGTTGGCTTGGGACGCGGGAGCGTTCTCCAGGCATGACAATTTTTATTTTTCACCGTCTCCTCCTTCCCAGCGGTGACATCGACAGTGAAGCAAGCCCTGCAGGAAGCTCTGGTGCAGATCCTCCAGCCCCAGCGCCGCGTGGACATCCTCCGCGACGTCATGGACGCCCAACGCCATCGCCGACCCTACGTCGTCACTTTCTGCGGCGTCAACGGCGTCGGGAAGTCCACCAACCTGGCCAAGGTTGGTCCTCCTGCTTCTCTGGAAGAATGATGATGAGGTCTGGTCACCGCTAACGGGTTTTTTTTTTGATGTTGTTGCCTCCAGATCTCGTTCTGGCTCATCGAGAACGGTTTCAGCGTCCTCATCGCTGCTTGCGACACATTCCGCGCTGGAGCGGTGGAGCAGCTCCGCACCCACACCCGTCGCCTCAACGCTTTGCACCCTCCGGAGAGCCATGGTGGGCGCACCATGGTGCAGCTCTACGAGAAGGGCTACGGCAAGGATGCTGCGGGGATCGCCATGGAGGCCATTTCCTACGGTAGGCTGGATAAATTGGGTGGGGAAGGCGCCGTTTTTTGGGGAAGAGGCCTGCTGAATGTTGTTTTCTTGTCGGCCCAGCACGGAACCAGGGTTTTGACGTGGTTTTGGTGGACACGGCCGGCCGCATGCAGGACAACGCTCCCTTGATGACAGCGTTGGCCAAACTCATCGCCGTCAACGCTCCCGATCTGGTTTTGTTTGTTGGGGAAGCGCTGGTGGGAAATGAGGCTGTGGATCAGCTGGTAGGTGTCAAAACTTTATTTTCTGAACAATTGGGGAGGGGAAAAAAATGCTTTTGTAGGTTTTATCAGAAATTTGGGCAGCAGCAGCACCACAAACGCGTTTCTTTGCGCTATTTCCTTACTCAGGTCAAGTTCAACAAGGCCCTGGCTGATCACTCCATGGCCCAGACGCCGCGGCTCATCGACGGGATCGTCCTCACCAAGTTCGACACCATCGATGATAAGGTAAGGAAGCCGTTGAGACCGCTCCGCGCAGAGCTTCGCGCTGGGATTGTCAAACACGGGGTGCTGTGGGACACCATCCTTTTGTGTTTAAGCCATTTAAAAAAAAAAACTAGGAGTTTGACTTCCGCCCATGTGGAAGATGGGGCCATAAAATCAACGTCACGGCAGCGTAGGGACCCCCCAGATCGGAGAATAAGGAGGAGGCTGAATATTTAACAAGCTTTTTGGCGCGTTTTCCCCGAGGAGGTAGCGCTGGATTTGGAGACTTAACGGTTCTTCTCGTCCTCGGCAGGTCGGTGCCGCCATCTCCATGACCTACATCACAAGCAAACCCATCGTTTTTGTTGGTACCGGACAAACTTACTGTGATCTGCGAAGCCTTAATGCCAAGGCCGTGGTCGCAGCGCTCATGAAGGCCTAAAAAAAAAAAAATCCACCAAATCGCTGTTTGCAGATGTCCGAGAAGAACATGCTTTACCCCCTTACCAACTAGTCGTGCCCGTGTAGCGCAGAGCAGAATGAAGGGATACCAGCCAGAGGGGGTGTGTGTGGTTTGTTTTTTTTTTTTTTGGATAAAACCTCTTTTATCCAACAAGAGCCCTTCCACTGGGTTCCTTCATTCTGTTTTCAGCGGGGAGGCTGAAGCCAGAGCTTTGTATTCTTCGTGCTGCATGGGGACAGAGCAAGGACCTGCTGTGCTTTGCTGGGGGTTTGAAGGTGGGGTTTTTTTTGAGCTGCTTTTGATTTTTTTTTTTTTTTTTAAGAGTGATTTTTGGCAGGTGAGATCTGGCTGTTTGCTAGTAGCAGCTCCATCGAAGCTGAAAAACCAAAAAAAGGCGACAGCCTGCGCTGAGATGCTGAACTGCCTTAAGGGCCCTGTTTTTGTTGTCACCAGGACAGGGGAGCAGGGTACCTGGACACGTCAGCTCGGTCCGATAGCGCTAATGGCTGGAGGAGGAGGGAAGGCAGCGTGTCCCTGCCTGGCTCCTGGCCTCAGTGGTATTTGCTAGAAAAAAAAAAAAAATTAAGACTGGAAGATAATGGTGGCTGCTTGCTGCTTTCCTGCACCCTTCCTGCCCCCCTTCGAGTGCCTCTCAAGCCCAGTCTGAAGTGCTCCATGGAAAAATACATCTTCCGATGTGTTGTAGCTCTGTATCGCAGATGTGCTCTAGTGCAATAAATTGACCGCTGTCTGCTAAGAGACATAATTTATATCAAATAATAAACTGCAGAATTTGTTCTCGGTGTATAACTAACTTGTCCCTCTCCAGCCGGGAGATGTTTCTAACTCCTGGGGGAGTTTGTAAATCACACATGAGACAAAAATGAAGTTTAAAAAGGGCTTTAATACCAGCTTCGGCATAGAAAATACTGTACAGGAAAAAGACAGGACTAGAAAACTAGAGCTTCAAGTAAAAAACAACAAAAAAAGCTCAAGTTTCATGGTTTGTAATTGAAAGTACAGAATACAAAAGCACCGAGTGTGAAATTAGAGAGACCACGCTCCCCAGGCGTGTGCAGCTTCGTTAAAAAGATAATTACTACGTAGATAATTACTACATTAAACCTTCTGAGGAGCCTCATGCCTGAAGGGTCCCGGCTTGGCTTGGCGCGTGCGGGCGCTCTCCTCCCCGGGAGCTGCTGGCGCTGGCTTAGGCCCGGCCTCAGGAGCACAAATCCTGCGACGAGGCTCAGGCTCAAGTGCTGAATCCTGCAGGAAAGTCAGAACTCCGCCAAACCCACCCGAGAGGCTGCTGTGCTCTCGGGGAATCGCACTGGGGCTGGACAGGACGAAGGCTGGCTCAGCTCGGCGCCGTCTCACCTTTAATCGCGGCAGGGGGAGCCGGGGAGCCGTTAGGCACACCTAGGAGAGCGCAACGACAAGGTGATGGCGCAGACACAGCGTGAAAACAGCAAACGTTCAACACAATGAGGGCTGCAGAGGCTTTCCTGGCTGGTTTTACCCTCTGCACGCCGGCCAGCAACACTCCAGCGAGCAAACTCACTTCTTTTTCCCCATTTTGTGATTTATTAGTGTGCTAAAGCTCAGACTGAGGGGCATGACAGTCAGCAAGACCAAACGGTGAGGCCGAAATGCCCTTTCCTTTTGCTACAAAGGGAATAAACAACCTCAGCCACGCACTGAAAATAACGTTTGGATGTGTTGGAAACAGCAGAGCTGTTTAAGCCATAACAGTAAACCTCAAACTCAGCTGTGCTTGAAGACAGTTTTTTTGGGGAAAAAAATAAAAGCTTAAGGAATAAAACAGCATAGAGAACGGGGGCTATGAATGCTGTCTGCATTAAAAACGGTGACGGGATCCCCAAATGAAGTGCAGCCTGTACCTGCTCGGCCCCGCGTGGCGATCTCGCTCGTCAGCCTCTCGAAGTACTCGGGTAAGTCGGTGTATTCGTCACCGTAGGAAATGACTTTAATCCCTTTGTCCAGCATGTTCTCGCGGAGCTTTTTAAACTCATCCACATCTCCTCTCCGTACGAGCATGAAGTGCTCCAGGTCGGATTTGTGCTTCACCGCCTCTAAAAACAGGGCCTGAAACGTGGTGTCATCAACAGTCCAACCACAGCCCAAGAACAGGAATGACTTATTTTCATACAGCTTCTGAATCTCTCGCTTTAAAAAAGGGGAAAGACCTTCTTAGTCAAGGCACAAAGACAGGACAGCACCTGCCTGATCGCTGAGGAGGCTCGTCAGGAGCAGAATCATCCCATCGTCCTCAACACGAGTTTTCCCAGGTTAGAAAATCCATCCCTCCTCTGTTTTATAAAATTAAAGACTCTCCCGCCACGCCTTGTAAAGCCCAGACTTTAAACCTGGCCGAGTCTACTCCCCGTTAACGTACGGAGGGATACGTATACCGAGAGCATACGGGACCCCTGCAGAACAGGCGAGGCTGCCTCACCATCACCTCGGTGTTGCGCAGGACGTTCTGGTAGCCGGCCGGGTGGAGCACGATGCCGCTGGGGTTGGTGTAAACGCCATGGATGTGCAGAACGCTAAGCTTCCTCTTTTCTTGTGCCCATTCCAGCACCTGCGCGAAACAAAACCCTCTCGAACTGTCAGCTGAACGGTGAAGGCAATGGGAAGAGACTGAATTAATTCAGGAAAAGGGGGGGAAACTCTCTCAAAATTATCTCAGCATCTTTCTCAAGCCTCAAAAATTTACCTTCTTTTCATCAGTCAGGTCGAGAGACTCCAGCTGCTTCCCCTGGTGCGCTGCGTACAGCTCCAGCAGGTTATCGAAGTTTGTGGTTAACACCAGTGCCCCGTTTTCCATCAAGTGAAGCACAGACTGAAGCAGCTGCTTCCCCGAATCTTCCATTTTCGATTCCAGGTCATCAAACACCTCGTATAAACAGTCTTTGAAAAACGTTGAGCGGACATTGCTTGTGCGCTGAGAAGGGAAAAGAGATCAAGATCAGAGTTGGGCTATTTTTAACGGTTCGTGGCAAATGACTCGGTGAAAAACCATCCACATATTTCTTAAAGAACTCTGCAAAAGCAAACAGAGAGCACTTGTGACTCCTTGTAGACAGAGGAATCGTTGGGGGCATGGCGGAGAACCCAGCTTGGCGATTTCCGAAACGCAAATCCCATGCTGTGGGCAGGTACAAAATATTTACGTAGAATAATATAAAGCACACTCACCGGAGACAGCTTCTGGATAAGGTCGTGGGCAACGTGAACCAAGTTCTTGTCTTCGTGGAGACACTTCTGAAAGCGTTTGCTCTCTTCATCCTCCAGGAGATCAAAGTCGATCGCAGCATCCAGGAGGGCCTGGATTAATCCCTTCCAAGATTTCAGTGCGGGGACCTGGGGAGCAACGGCTGCGCTGATTCCTGTCCCGATCACCAAAACGAGTTCTTGAGGCCTTTTGGTTTTGAGGCTTGGCAGCAGCTTCCTGCAAGAGGAGAAAGTAGCACAGCTGAGACCAGGATGTCTCGGGTCATGGAATGTGCGAACCGAGGACGAGGGAGGTACCCTCTGCCTAAATTTAAATTTTGAATCAATGTGTCCATCCTCGGTGGCTGCAGAGACACATACATACTCTTTCTGTACGACACACGGCACGCCTGGGGAGTAAATGTGGCTGGGGCTGCCAAACGGGGCCCCGAGGACAGCAGCCCCATTTATCCCATCTTTGGGAAGCCCAGAGGATACAAATTGTCTCATGAAAGAGCTACAGGGCTGTATTCTCCTTCCTCCTCCTCCCCTCTTATTTTCCCAGCTTTACACCTGCACAGCGCTTTGAAATTTGACGTTTGGTATTTTTTAAGGAGATGTGCTTCTCCCCGTCTCGCCTCGCCAGGTGTCACGCTGCTTTTCCGAAGCAGTGGATCAACTCCAGCTTCCCAGAGGATGGAAGCAGCAGCCCAGGGAGGCAGCTCGTGTGGAAGGAATGTTTTTTTTAATGTGCAAACACGTGATATTTAGCGAGAAGGGGAAAGGAAACCCACACCACACTTTGCCTTCCCTCTGCCTACAACAACAGACTAGTTAACCTTTTTTCTTGAGGTTAGCGGTGATCAGTGGATTTTAATTTTGGGACTGCAAGCCTCACCCACAAAAAATAAATTAGCATTCATGCTAATGAGCTAGCAGAAGAGCACAACGAGAAGCCCCGGGACTGAAATCTGAGATAAAAACAAATACGCAAGTCTCAAGGTCCTGCGCCACGGATCTGAACGAGACATTCTGTTCCCACGCTGATAAATACACTTGTTTCTATGCCGATATCCACAGCAACGAAAAAAATAATCTCCCAGCGTCTTTTCTGGCTTGGAAAACTGCAAAATGACCTAATTATTAGTACGGGGAGCCTCCAGGGAGGAATTATTTAGCCTTTATGTGCAGAAAAATTGTACCAATTTGAGCAACTGCCTGTCCTCATGGGAACTGCTGCCCAACTCCAGCGAAAAAGCACGGCCACCATGTCCGACGTGACCGTATGTGCAGACAGGGTTAACTGTGATCGAAACCACAGAGACAGCACAGTAAAAACCAGCTTTCTGTGCAACCATGCAGCCTGGCTTAGGGCTTCAAAAACCTGGCCAAAAAAGTCCGTTCAGGGCATTAAAGGCCTTTGTTCCATGCACTGCAGGAAAATCCAGGGCTAGAAACAGCATGCTTTTCTTGGAGCAGCAGCCGAAACGACCGCTGGGGCTTGGTGCCGACTGTCACGTTCTTTAAAGAACAAGGGAAGGTTACAGAAAAAAGCTTTTATTAGAAGAAATTCACCGGAGTAGAATTCCATTTACCTGGGCTTTTTTGCAGGTGGCATTCCATCTTCCAACAATGTTTCTTTACCCAGGCTGACCGTAGAAGCCATCCAGTTTCTAGTGCAGACAAACCACCACAAGGAAGGTCACTACACACAGGCGATACGACGTGGAACACACCACAGCCCAGGTTTTTCCCCCGGGGGAAGATAAACATGGGGTTTTGTTATCTTTATGAGATCACATTCGGGCTAAGAATTGCATTTTTTTGTTTCTGAACTTTGCCCCACACCTCTCATCCACCTCCTTAATTTCCTCTACAACAAAACTCGATAAAATCCTAAAGCTGTTTTGTACAAAACCACGCTGCAGTCGCCACGGTTTGCCAGACTCTTCATTTCACTGGCTCATTTTTGCCTGAGAGCCCGGAGGAGGTCCTCCCCCCTTCCAAGGCGATGCCTGTCAGCAAACTTGGGAAAACAGCGGGAGGGAAGAAAAACAAAAAGATTTTTGTTGGCTCCAAAAAAGCCACCAAGAGCATTTCATTCTCTGGTGATGAGAGAAGGATTATCCAGCCCGCCATCCGTCTGCAGGCGGTGGGATATGACCTTAAAGGGTGCTACACGGCCGAGAACTCTTTCAACATGAAACACAAAAGGTCTGCTAGGCACACAATCCTCTCCAGGATCCTCTCCACTGACTATTAGAAAGAAAACAAAACCTCAGCTGTGCTGCAAAAGTTGGCAGGGATCATTTAATTGTCCCAAAAACCCTTCAAAACCTGCCTCCCGAAACACCACTGAGCCTGTGCTGCCCAAATACCTCAAATAATCAGGTTTTTATTTTACTGTAGAGCCCAGATTTCAGATAAAAGTTTCAAATCCATTTAGGAAGCGAGGAACTGGGCTCCAGCCGACTGCTTGCACCTCCTGGTTTTACACACTCCATGCTTGCAGGGCCCTGAGCCTCCTCCATTGCATTGTACTCTCTGTTTTTCCAACCCGACAGCACTTCGGGGTCATCAAGTCCATTTTTAAGTACTTTTAGAGCACTAAAGACATTTCAAAAGTCATTCTGAACTTAGGAAAACCCACCCTTTATAATTACAGTTATCAACAAATAGCTTTCCAATATCATGAACTTCATTTCTATTTAATGCAGATAGCCAAAAAGGAAAAAAAAAAACCAAAACAAAACACATCAGAAATAATATCTAGTCTTCTGTCTCCCAAAAAGTGCTTATTTCTCTTAAGAACACATCGTGGAGATTCAGACAAGAAGCTTAAAGCCTCCAGAGTTTAGGCTCTGCTCTCCAGGGAAACGGATCACGCCAGTACGGTCGAGGTAACTGAAATTAAACAGCATTACCTCAGAGCACGGCACCGTGGAAAAAAGCACCCAGGGGACTCTGCTGCACCTGGCCACGCCGTGCTGGAAAGGGAGTGAGTGGCGCTTACAAGATAAGAAGCGTCTCTCCAGTCTTCCTCCTCAGGACGTCAGGAACTTTCCACCTATTTAGACTCCAGGGAGTCAGAGAGAGCGTAAACATCCAACTCTGCTCAGCTGCCGCGTTCTCCGGTCACCGCGCGGTCTCTCATCACCTTTATTAACGGCACTATGCTTGCAGAGTCCCCGCAGAGGTTTCTGGCGTTCTCCTTTCCCCCCACACTGAAGAAATCGGTGAATTCATCCTAAAACCCTCGAGGTACAGACTGCAGCAAGGAACCGTTGCCTTTAAACGATGCCTCAAAGTGCCAACACCGACTAAACCTCACCACAACAATTCCATCCAGCTGCGAAAACGCCTGGAATACAAAGATGTATCCCAGCTAAATCCTAACACCTAAACAAAGCACATCCCAAAGGAACACTGAGGCTCACACAGAAGGTGTATTTACAGAAAACTTTCCGTAACTCTACAAAACACGACTACGCTACTCAGTCAACGTCAGACCCAGCCTGCAGAACCACCCCTGCAAATTAATGAGAGGACGACCTTTGAGTGTCTCCACGCTCAGCAGCTAACGGACAAGTGAAGCTACACCTGCACGTTTAAAATTTAAGAAAAGTGAAAACGGAGTGCATCCAGCTCGATGCTGGAAGAGGGGCTCCTCTGGAACAGCCCCTTCTATAAAGAAGCAAGTACAAATTAATTGCTCATCAATTATTTTTGAGTGTCAAGAAGAACTACAACCAGTGAGGGCGTAATTCAGATCTCCTTTTTAAATGGAATGGCTTTGAGATGATGGGATAAGACAAACGTTATGTTACACTTTCCAACCCGCTATGTTTCAGCTAGAAGAATGTGACAGGACGTTAATGAGTTGTCCCTGGCCCATTCCCAAGCTCTGTCCCTCCATGTGGGAGTCCCAACTGCAGCAGCACGGCTTGTCAAAACCATCCCAGAAAGGGACAGCCTTCAGAGATAATGGGGACGAGGGGCACAAAGGAAACAAGCCCTGCTTCTGTTGGTGCTGGTGTTATGAACACAAGACTCAGCCTCCTAAGATGCGAGTTAAACAACAGCAGAGGTTTTTATTTAACGCTGTGATTCTCCACCTCCTTTGGGTTCCCACCAGCTTCATGAAAAACCTGAGGGAGCAGCACAGCAAAGCCTGGAAGAGGTCTGCATCCCAACAAACTCACACAGGAGCCCGCATCGCGTGGTGGGTGCCAGGCCAATGCGTGCAAATGGGACTGGCTTCATTCTGCCTGCTTTAACCCCCAGCAGACACTGCTGTAGGACAGCCCTCAAGCCAGCGATTCTGCACCCAGGGCTGGCTTTCTAGGAACACTTCTAGAAAGCCAACGGTGCTCGGTGCCAGCCATGCTGTTGGTGAGGGGATTTCACGCCTTCAGGGATGCCCAGCACCTCGAGGCCTTACCTGTCCTCTCCGCTGTGCCCCTTCCTCGCCCCCTCTCACATTAAACCTGAGGGAAAAGCAAAAACACGGCGTTTCAGCGGGTAGGGAGACAGCCAAGGCCCTTCTCAGGGAGGAACACCTCCCAAAAAAGAGTTTTTCATGAGGGAGGTGCCTCAGAGAGCAATAGTGCTGAGGTAAGCCCAGGCCCCACCG